AAATTACTGAAAATTGCATCGTAAATTCTAGACGATTTTGACGCAGATTCCACCCAAGTAACATTTCAAGTTTTATAGTGGTTTTACAGCATGCCACAAATTTAAATCATGGTCTACAGAACCCTCATGAACCCAAAATTGTTACTTGGGCAATCGGGATTAACGGAATTTCTACACGATTTCGACAGAGTTTCCTGACATTTTCACCGGAATTCGTTCCAATCAGAATTTTGTTAGAGAATCAAAATTACTTTGGCGGACATTCCAGATAATTTAAAAGAAAAATCCAAACTATTTCGACGGAAAGTCTTGAAAATTGCAGCGTACATTCCAGACGAATTTGACGGATATTTCACAAAATATTAACTGAAACTCCGGACAATTTCGACCGATGTTCCTGACACTTCCGACGGAGGTCATTCCAGACGATTTTGACGAAAATTCCAGACGATTTCGACGGAGATTCCAAACGATTTCGACGCAACGTGAATTTCGATGAATATTCAAAACGAGATTATCGGAAATTACAGATGATTTCGACAGAGTTTCCCGACATTTCCAACGGAGGTCGTTCCAGACAGAATTTTGACAGCGATTCCAATCGATTTCGGCGGACATTGCAGACAATTTCAACGGAAATTCTAGAATATCCCGACGAACATGATTGAAAATTTCATCGTAAATCGCAGACCATTTCGATTGAGGTGCCTGACGAGATTAGCGGAAATTCGAAGCGATTTCAATGGATTTTCCTGGCAGTTCCGACAGAGGTCGTTACAAACAGAGTTTTGTAGAGATTCCAGATGGTTGCAACGGAAATTCCAGATGATTTCGACAGAGTTTCCTGACATTTCCAACGGATGTCGTTCTAGACAGAGTTTTGACAGAGATTCCAGACGATTTCGACATTCCAGATGATTTCATCGAAAAATCCAGACGATTTCAACGGAAATTCCTGCAAACTGCAACATAAAAGTAAGAAGATTTCAACGGCTGTTAACTTCTTCGAGATAATCTGAAATCGTATTCGTCAATGGCTGGAATCTCAATTTACAGCTCGGGAATCGTCTTTTGGATCGTCTGAAATCTCTGTTTAAAATGCTTGGAATCTCCGTCTAGAGTCTTTGTCTGTAACGTCTGGAATCACATTCGGGAACGCATGGAAGCTCCATCCGGAATCACGGTTGGGACCAATTCAAGGCTCCGGAGGATCGTCTGAAATTTCGAGTCAGGAACGTCTGAAATCATCTTTGGCCACGGCAGGGATCTCCGTCGAAAAAGTGTGGAATTTCACGTCAAGAACGCCTGAAGCAGCAACTTCGGAAACGCCTGGATACACCATCAATTTGGAAACTTCTGGAGTCTTGGGGCAGAATTTGGTATCATATTTGACAAGGGCAGGGACCTCCGTCGAAAACGTGTGGAATTCAGCGTCAGGAACGTCTGGAATAGACTGGCCTAAATTTATGTCGGAGATTGAACTTTTTCAAAGGGGGCCATCTTCAGAATTGTGCCTGAAGGTGAAAAAACTTCTTGCTGCAAGTTTTAGCATATTTGGTTGTACCACGAGCTAGCGCTTTTAGTTCAAAGTTTACATGGGTTTTTGGTCAAAATGTGTGAAAAAATGACAACTTAGAAGTTGAACCAAAAGCATCAAATCGTGGTACAGCCAAATGAGCTGAAACTTTTAGAGATTGGTTTTCTGTCTAGTCCAAAAGTATCTTCGGAAACATCTGGATTCATGAGCCTCCGTTGGGACGTCTGGATTCTTGCGCCTGGAACGCTTGAAACCATCATCAGTAACGGCTGGAATCTCCATCGAAAACATATGCAATCTTCGTTGGAAACGTCTCTGGCTAGAGTGTCTGAAATCATCTTCGGGAACGCCTTAAACCACCATCGAGAACGTTTGGAATCGTCTTCAGCAATAACTGGAATTTTGCGTCAGGAACATCTGTAATCATTTTCGGTTGAGACTTGCGTCGGAAACGCGTGGAACGTCTGGAATCATCTCCGGCATCAATTGGAATCACTTTGAAATGCCTGAAACCTCTGTATGAATCATTTTCGGTAACGGTAGGGATCTTCGTCCAAAACGTAAGGAATCTCTTATGGAACCACCCAGAATCATCTTCGGCAACGGTACCCAAGTAACATTTCTGGTTTTATGAGGGTTCTGTAGACAATGATTTAGACTTGTGAATGCTTTAAAACCTCGATAAAACTAGCAATGTTGCTTGGGTAGTAATCTTTGTTGAAAACGTGTGGAATTTCACGTCAGGAATGTCATGAGTCTCCGACTGGAGCATCTGGAATCACCTTCGGCAAGGTCCTGAATCATTTTTGAGAACGCCTGGAGCCTCTGTCGAGAAAGTCTGGAATCTTGCGTTAGGAAAGTATGGGCTCATCTTTGGTAACGGCTGGAATTTCCGTCGAAAACGTGTGGAATCTTTTACGAGGACATCCAGATCCTCCATCAAGAACTTCAGGAATTGTCTTCTGCAACCTTCGTCAAGTACGTCAGGAAATATCTGGAATCTCACGCCAGAAATGTTTCTGGAATTTCGCAACAGGAACATCAAGAGTGACTGGCGCATATGAAATCACCTCCGGCGTCGTCTTGAATCATGTTTGAAAACGCCTGGAGCCTCCGTCGAGAAAGTCTGGAATCTCGCATTAAGAACGTCTGGACTCATCTTAGGCAAAGGCTTGAATCTTTGTTAGAAACGTCTGACGCCGAATTTGCAGCGTCTGGAATTATCTTCGGGAACGTCTGGAATCTCCATTTTGACCGTCTGGAATCGTTTGGAATCTCACATCTGGAACCGCTAGAATCATCTTCGGCAACAGTAGGAATCTCCGTCGAAGAACATCAAGAATCCTTTGAACCTCTGGAACTTCCATCGAGAACTTCAGGAATCGTCTTCTGGAACGTTTGGAATCTTCGTTGGGAACATCTGGGATCTCTCATCTGGAATGTTTAAAATCATCTTCGGCAATGGTTGTAATCTTTGTTGAAAACGTGTGGAATTCCACGTCAGGAATGTCAATATTCTCCGACTGGAGTGTCTGAAATCATCCCCGAGAACATCTAGAATCATTTTTGAGAACGCCTGGAACATTCGTGGAGTAAGTCGGAAATCTCGCGTCAAGAATGTTTGGACACATCCTTGGCAACGGCTGGAATCTCCGTCTGATATCATCTTCGACAACATTTAGAATATCCGTCCAGAACGTCTGGAATCGGCTTCTGCGACGTTTGAACCTTCCTTTGGGAACATTTCGAATCTTGCGTCTGGAACTTGGCCTGGAATCATATTCAGCAACGGATGGAATCTCTATTGGAAATGTGTGGAGTCTCCGTCTGTAGCGTCTGGAATCATCTTCGGCAGTCATCTTTGGGAACTTCCGGAACCTATGTCAAAAACGTCAGAAATTGTCTTCGGGATCGTTTGGAACCTCACGCCTGGAATGTCTTGGGTCATCTTCTGCAAAGGATGGAATCTCCGACAAAAACGGGTGGAATATTAATTTGGAAACGTCCAGAATCTTCGTCGAAAACGTCAGGAATTGTCTTTGGGAACGTTTGAAATCTACTTTGGGAAAGTCGGAAATCATCCTTGACAGTGTTGGGAAAATATCAAAAAATCAAATCTCACCAATGCCCAAAATCACGCTTGATTTATGTAGACAAAATTCAACAAGTAAACAGCTGCGGTTGATAATTGCAAGCTGTAATGTCGCAGCTCTGGATATCAAGCTAACAATACTCACCAGCTGCAAATCTCACCAAACTGTGGTGAGATTGAGTTTCATGATTTTTGCTTTACACCCGAACGTAACCGAAACTTCCATAACGGCTGGCAGCAGTTACTTCGTATCTGCCATCGGTGAAGAGTAAAAAGAGAAGGCACACTATACATTCTCTTTCTAAGAAAACGAGGTGCAACGGAATCATTTTTGTGTCGAACCAACTCTCAGCTTGATTTTTGCACGTTGTGAATAGTCTCGCAATATCAAAGGAGCTTGTAAAATCAATATCAAGCATGACATTTTGATCCAATATCATGCGTGATATTGAGAGCGTATGAGAGCGGAAAAATATCATTTGATTGATGATTTTGCCAACACTGATCCTTGAAATCGCCTGGAACGAGAATGTCTTTAACCGATCTAGTGTTTGACAGAAAATAGATCAGATTATTCGTTAGAACTTGACTAATCCCTAAACTCGTTAAGTTATTTTGAAATAAAGCAGTCTAAATGTCAAGCAACTACGGACGGTCCTGGACCTGTCGCGAATGAATCATAAAGTCACCCCAGGTAGGCAATGAAGAATACAAAAATAAAATCAAAACCAACTTCTAAATCATTAACTTTCACCTGAAGTCGAGTGGTCTCCGGAGGCCATTTCCACGATTTAATAAGCCCTGCAGCGGCGTTCCTTTTCGCGGCAAGTAAGTGCAATTTCAAAGAGTCCTTCTTTTATAGTTGGAGTCTTGCTTCTCGTGGTCCCACTTTGGAATTAAAAGGCCATTTTATAGAGCAAAGGAGCAAAAGTGCACTCGTCGTCGTCGTCGTTTGAGTGGCGATGGATGGTTGGAAGTAATTGTGTGTAAAGCTTTCTCTCTTCAGCAAGGTTGATTATTGCTCCCGGGAGGGGGGCCAACGACGATTCATCCCAGCAGTAATTGCCTCCTCGAAGCAAATCCTGCTTGAGATCGTTCCGCCGGACGAAGGGCGGCGGGAAGGGGGGTGATAATTAAAATTATATTTATGAGATATGAGTGCCATTATGTTTATTGTTATTGCTCTTCTGCTACTTGCTCGAGGAGCGGGACAGGAGGACCAGTGGCTAATGAGCGAGATGAAGGGAACGGGAACCAGTTTTGTACGAACGGAAACGATCCAACTCTTGATTGTGTATCATTTCAATTTGCCAGTTTGAGTAATGCCGCCCTGTTGGAAATACGAGAGAAAGTTTGCATTGATATACTCACGTCGACTGTGATGCCGGAAACGGGAAAAGTCCTTGCCGGAGGTGATTCCTTCGGCACGAACCGGTAGAATTCCTCGGCCTCAAAGTACCACCGAACGGAGTATAGTGTTGCCTGAAACAAAGTGAATCAGGAAGAAGGATAAAGTTTCGCCGTTGGGATTCGTCCGCTTGTTCGGAGTGAGTTACCTTTTCCAGCTCGAATTGGCACGACAATGTGGCTGCATTTCCCATGATGACTGCATCCGGAACGAAGATTTTCAAATCCTTAAGGCTGAGCACTGAAACGAAAGAAGGAGAAGAAGAACTGTTAGTAAGGGAATCGTTTTCCATGAGGGATCAGAATGTTTTGATTAAGGAATTTTCCTAATGCCTTGGAGTGGAATTTGCGTCGGAAATTGCCAGCTTTTAAAATTATGATCCAAACTCCTCCGCAGAGCTCAAATGGCTAAACGGAATGAGTCGTAAAATTCCAACCCATTATATTGCAGTTAATGACGTGCTCCAGTTTGTAAAGCTCTCAACGGTTATTGATTTTGTCATTTAACACGGGTTAAGACTTGAGAGGTCTCACGGTGGGCGAGGAAATGTATTTCCTCACAAATGGTCCTAAAACCCACCGAACAGCTATATTGCATGGAGATGGAGAAGAAGCAGAAGAACGAGGCAGGTGGGTTGCCCTGAAGTTAGCTCTCGTTGATAACTAACATGGCAAACCATAAATTCAGTTTCGGCTGTGCTTCCACTAGGTAACCGAAATCACCTGGGGATGTTTGGTACGTACCTGTGGTAGGATATGGATTTTATACCCAGCTGTTAAAAATGCGATAAGCTAATGGCACCAGTTTTGAACTAGCTTCTATGGTGGAACTGCTCAGCATGGCGATTGTGTTAGACCTCACTCATCTCAGTTTTTGTATTTCCTATCAGGGCTGTGAAGTCGGATGAAAATCGATCGACTTCGACTCCGACTCCGACTCACAATGTATGGTACTTGGTGCAGGTCGTCGATGAGTGGGTTTGAGGAAGATGGGTACCCAGTAGTCCACTTCTGTGATGGAAAAGGGTCGATTCGCAGTGCTTGGTGATGCTGGCAAGTCTGCCATAAATTGCTCCAACAATTTTGGACGTGCTCGAAAGCAAACAACACAGTTATGGATCACTCGCTTGGCTCCGATGACCCAGTAGCGCTGCCGTAGTAGGTTTAGAAGTAATTGGGTAGTGGCATGAAGATGCATTTCGTAGTAGTTACGGATCAAGAGAATAAGGTTGCAGTGCGTTTCCTAACCTTCCACCGATTCGAATCACCTGCTCCAAAGATACGAAGGGATGAAACCATTTGAGGTGGGACTTCGATGACACCTGTTGATTGTTCCATTCTTCGCTGAACGATTGTTGTTGAACTAATCGGATGATAATACTTTCAGCTTCATTTAAATCATCGACGTTGAGGAGTGAGGTTTTCGGTCGTTCGCTTGGTGCAGTTCGGCAGTTTCGAATAAAGCGATGACAGTAAGCAACTATCCGGCTAAGGGACAGGAAGTTGGAAATTTTTTCGACAAGCAGGTCGACGAAAGATGGTTCGCTTGGAGTTGATGGTGCTGCTACTGATACGCGACGTGCTGCGTGAACTGCCGCAGATGGTTGATCAAATTCACTAGCTCCTACCGGCCAGTGACGTTGATGAAGGTGTAACCATTGTGGTCCATGGCACCAGAGATCGAAATTGAGTATCGCATGTGCAGTCATCCCACGAGCTGGATTCTCCAGGCCGGCAATGTGATTCCACGTACAGTTCTGGGTGGTAATTTGGAACTTGGAAGTATGGTTTACGACGAAGGTGTTCCATTCAGAAGGTGAACCTTTGAGCCAGCACAGTACGGCGGTGCTGTCGAGCCAAAAATTATAATCTGCGTCGAGTTGTAGCGATGATTTTACTTTCTCGTATAATTCTGCTGCCAGTAAAGCGCCACACAGTTCAAGTCGCGGAATGCTGAGTTGTTTGAGAGGTGCAACCCGTGATTTGGCGGAGAGTAGAGCTACTTTAACTAACCCAGCGGTATTAGTGGACCTGACATAAGCACAGGCACCGTAGGCGAGTTGTGAGGCGTCAGCAAAAATGTGGACGTGGACGGTTTTTGGCAGAAGTGATTGATAATTGATCCATCGCGTATGGTACTCATTTGGTAGCTCACGATCCCAACTCCAAAGTGCTCCCTTTTCATCTTTAAAGGGCCAAAGGTTTTGCATGAAAACTTTAGCGGTCGTAACAACTGGACCCACTAAGCCGAGTGGGTCAAAGAGACGTGCAATAAGCGAGAAGGCGAGCCGTTTGGTGAGTAGGTTTGCTGAGTCCGACGGCAATTCAATTTTGTAGCTATGGGATAACGACGCCTCGTAGAGCAATAAGTATTGGCGCTATGTATCTACCACATCAGTTTGATTGGTACCATGTTCCCTCGACTAGAACAAAACGACCTAGCTCTGGTATTTGGTGACTACAATCAGTCTGGGCTCTCATGGAACGTTCCTGCAAACGATCTTCCTAGCATTGATGTTCTTCCCTCGAACATGCCCGCATCTTGCTGTGCTCTCTTTGATGGTTTCAACCTGCATGGCTTAACGCAAATCAACTCGATACAGAATAGCAACTCTCGGCTGCTTGATCTCGTTCTGGCGAACGAAGCTGCAGGACTGGAATGTTCTATTCTAGAAGCACCAGAGCCTTTGATTGGCATCGACACCAATCATCCTGCGTTGGAAGTTTCCATCAACCTACACACTTAGAAATACCTAATTTTACACGTGACGGAATCCATCTTTGACATAAAGGATGAGACGTAAACAAACATGTCATATAAAATTAAGTGCTCCGAGACTGAAAAGTTCGGTACTCGACGAAAAGTACGTTTGATTGAACTGAGTTTTGCGTCTAAAGGGTGATACGGTCAAAATTTGGTCAAGGGAAAACGCGTGTAAATCGGTGAAATCGTTTATTTAAAAAATCAAATTAAATTTCTTTTTCAAGTTCAATTACTATAAAATTCAGGAAAAATATTCAGTTAGGCTTCCGCTTTTCCAAATCCGAATTGCCGGGCCTTACGCTTGACCCCTGCCATCAGATTTTGTACAGCCACCTTGTCCACCTTCTTCGCCGCAGAAAGCCAGTTTGCCTTGAACTGCTGCTCGCCCTTAGCAGTTTTTTTGGTCTTCTTTAGGTTCCGCTTGACAATAGCCCAGTATTTCTCAATTGGGCGGAGCTCTGGCGTGTTGGGAGGGTTCTTGTCCTTGGGAACCACCTGCACGTTGTTGGCGGCGTACCACTCCATAGCCTTTTTACCGTAATGGCAAGATGCCAAATCCGGCCAAAACAGTACGGAACAACCGTGTTTCTTCAGGAAAGGCAGCAGACGTTTATTCAAACACTCTTTCACGTAAATTTCTTGGTTGACAGTCCCGGAAGCTATGAAAATGCTGCTTTTCAAGCCACAGGTACAGATGGCTTGCCAAACCAGATATTTCTTTGCGAACTTTGACAGTTTCATGTGCTTGAAAACATCTGCTACCTTTCCCCTTCCTTTTGCCGTATAAAACTCCTGTCCCGGAAGCTGCTTGTAGTCGGCTTTGACGTAGGTTTCGTCGTCCATTACCACGCAGTCAAACTTCGTCAGCATCGTCGTGTACAGCCTCCGGGATCGCGCTTTGGCCGTCGTATTTTGTTTATCATCGCGATTTGGAGTCACTACCTTCTTGTAAGTCGATAGTCCGGCTCGTTTTTTGGCTCGATGCACGGTTGTAGACGATACACCCAACTTATTTGCGGCATCTCGGAGAGAGAGGTTAGGGTTTCGCTTGAAACTACCGGCAACTCTCTTTGTCGTCTCAGCGGCTTCCGGTTTTCGATTTCCCCCCGATCCAGACTTCCTGGCTGTCGACAAACGTTCCCCAAACACTTTAATTACATTTGTAACGGTTGATTTGGCAACTTTTAGCGATTTTGCCAACTTTGCGTGCGAGTAGCTCGGATTTTCGCGATGCGCGAGCAAAATTTTGATACGCTGCTCTTCTTGCTTGGACGGCATTTTGACAACTGAAGAGTGAATTCCAAAATCAAAATAGGAGCAACATTCTACACACGCACACACACCTTCAAAATGAGGGGTGTTCAGGTTTTTTAAATGCAAAATTGAAAGAAATACGTCAAGTTGATATTGACCAAATTTTGACCGTATCACCCTTTATTACGACTCAATTTTATGTCAAAAATGACGCTCGTATATGACAGTCTCAGAGCACCTAAATTTACATGAATTTTTTAAAGTGTGTATCTGTTCCTGTTCGCTACGATAACCCCCCTGTTGATGTACATGAGCTCGACTTTCGTAGAGCAGATTTCGTCGCGCTGAGTCACTCGCTTGCCCAGGCAGATTGGCAGTTCCTTGACACGTGTTCATCTATTGATGAAGCCGTCAACTACTTCGCTGAGGTCGTCGGCCGGGCAATAACTGATTCTGTCCCATTGAGGAGACCCTCTCCCAAACCCGTATGGTCCAATGCTCGACTACGGAAATTGAAGCGTCTGAGATCGAAGGCCCTCCGTAAATACTGTCGTACTCGTAGGCCATTCACCAAACGATTATTTTCAACTGCGAGCAACGAATATCACACATATAACTGCATTCTTTACTAGAGCTACACAAGGCGTGTGCAGGCTAACTTACGGCTTAATCCAAAGCAGTTCTGATCATTCGTGAATACCAAACGAAACGAGGAGGGGCTACCAGCCGAAATTCACCTGGGTGATAGAATCGCCAGCAATTCCCTTGAGAAATGTAATCTTCTGGCAGAACATTTCAAAAGCATTTTCAATGACACTACGGCTTCGTTGTCCCAAGTTGCTGAAGCGGTGAGGGACACTCCCAGTGATGCTTTCAATTTTTCGATTACCTCGGTTACAGTAGACCTCGTCGAATCCGCCATCAAGTAGCTGAAATTTTCTAATGCTGCTGGCCCTGACGTGATCAGCGCTTTCGAAGCTGTTCAATATTTCATTACAGCAGGGGGAGTTCCTTATGCGTTGGAAATCGTCATTCATGTTCCCGATCTACAAGAAAGGAGACAAGAGAAACGTCGAAAATTACCGAGGGATCACATCACTCAGTGCCTGCTCTAAAGTTTTCGTAATCATCATCAACGACGCATTATTCTCTACCTGCAGAAATTACATTTCTTCTGACCAACACGGTTTTTATCCCAAGAGATCAGTTTCAACAAATCTAGCTCCG